GAAACCTGCTGATTGACGCCTTCCTCCATCTAGACATCTAGGAGAAATTTAATATCAGCTGAGGTTATTTCAGTTCATAGTGATATACACATCTTTAACAGAAGTAAGCATAAAATCTGTGTGTTATTCATGGATACTGTTCATACAGTTGTTCGAGTAATTGTGAAAAAATATTAAAATAAAGCAGAGAACTTGCCTAAAACGTTTCTGATTACTCTGGCTGATTTTCTGATAAGCACTTTCCCTTTGATTCAGTTTTGTCAGCTTGTGTGTGTGATGTGATAGGCGGCTGTCATGATCCCTACAAAACCTTAACCCTTGTGGAATTAGCGACTCTTTAAATCAATTTTTGAGATGAATGCTCACTATAGAATTTCTGCTGGCAACGAAAGAGCCTGATGAGCTTGAAGGAACGTGACATAAAGGATTATTGCCTGTATATCTGAGCTTGGACTTTGGCTGTCAAAAAAACTTTCTGCAAAAAGCCACTGAAGATCACACCTTTGATGCCGCAGTTTCTAGAAATTGTATTTCAGGTTTTTCCCAGAACAGGGCGTACCGAAGAAAGCAGAAAAGAGGCAAGGGAAATCCGCGCGAGAATGCTGAGCGAAGGATGGATAGAGAAGCCATATGCTTCATTCATTTGCTTTCGAAAATTCCTTTGCAGATTCATTCTTGTGGATATCGTTTATGACCTATTATCCATGCGAGAAGACTAACTGATTGAATAAATCTCCCAGACGTTCTCCCTAAAAATTCGCCGTCTTCGCCATTTGCTTACGGATTTAGGATGAACTTGGAATTGATGCTTCGCGGTCAAGTACAAACCATACATCGACAGGATATAGCGGAGCAATCGCTGGTTTGAGACGAGCCCCGCGATGATCTACCGCCTAATCACAGCGCGGGTTGACTTGTCAAATTGCGAAGTGCGGCGGAAGTTTATCCTCCAGCATGGTCTCTCAAGCTGCGAAGGAGTTCGACGTTTCCGGCTCCCGGATGAGCAGAGGAGGCTATGCCAGAAGCCGCACCGTCTGGATGATTAAGTCGGTCGGCGGTTCCCTGATCCCAGAGGTCAGCGATTGCCTGTGGTGAAAGCTCGGCAGGCCCTGGCTGGAATTTATTTTATTGCTTGTAGAGAATGTAAAAAGGAAAAAAAGCCCTGCACACTGGATCACATCTACAGCGTCGGATGTAATCAAGACCAGTGTCAGGTTGCACAGGACGCCATGGATATCGGACTAAGGCACATCAACGACTCGCCATGGAGATTGTCTCATGCTCTGCACCTCAACGTCAGGACTTCACCAACGCCGATCTTCATGCCCTTCTCAAAGCTAAAGGGCCAACTACCACGTAATCGCCTTGTAGGAAACGAGGTCCAGAAAGACGGACGTGAAGCAGCTGAGTGATGGCACACTAATCAGGCGTTGGATTTGTCGTACAATCTATTGTCGATTAGCATCAGGTCCTATCACCTCGCCTATCTATCGACTCCGTCTCTGCATCAGAGAACTTGCTATCATTAACTGCTACTTTCCAACACCAGAAGCTGCTGACTCGGACATTGATGCTTTTCATGAGGATTGTCATCCGCAAAGAGAAGTCCTTCCACCAATTTGTCGTGGGTGACTTCAATGCGAAAATCGGGTTGTCAGAAGAAGAGCATAGCGGATTGGACCAGGACTCCGGAATAAGAATGGCAACCGTCTTTTGGGCTCTTCATGAAGGAAGAACAACTGTCGGTGGATATGGGAGTCACCTAACGGTACGACTCATGCGGAAATCGACCACATTCTCACCAACCGAACATGGTGCTTAACGGACGTCTCAGTGGAACCATCCTTCATTAGTAGCTCATCGCTCCTTCAAGGTGCGATTCAGCCGAAAGCTGGAAAAGAAGATCTGCCATCGTGTTGAAGAAAGGAGAGAAGTTGTATATGACGCCGTCAGATTGGAGGAGCTCCTGACCGCTTGTGACTGGCCCATCGAGGAGGACCCGACGAAAGACTATGATTTCTTCTTAGAGGACTGAAAGTCTGTGGTGAAAGTGCCTCAATGACTCGAACGAGGAACTTGGAACGAATTTCGAAAGCCACCCAGGATTTGATAGAGAGGAGTGGAGCACTGAGGCTGATCCGACCGCAACACATCTCGAGTTCCTGGTAGCCAATACCAGTCGCTCGAGATATGATGCAGCTGCAGAACAGCTTTGCAAGAAGACCTTCGAAAGTATAGGTACAAAAGTTTTAGAACCAGCACAAGGAAGGAGAAGTCTGAAGAAGTACCGCAGGGACCCTCTCAATTATCGTGTTCCGCTGA